ATATATATACGTGTTTGTGTTGGGTGGAGTAATAAAACCCCTAATACGTATTCCTGCGCCTGTCTTCTAATCATTATACAACGTGACAATGTATTTATTTCATAAATATTAGATAATGGCATTTTAACGTGCAATGTGATTGTAGCTTCTCTGCTTCAGCAAAATGTGTATTGGTCTATTTGTTTTTCTGTGTTTACTCAAATGAATTTAGTTCCCGAGGAATGAGGGCATTCCTTTGGTTTGGTGCTATGCTATAATTAAAACATAATTCTTCCTTTAATGACTACTGTAGAGTCTTGACAGAATATCGCCCTGGGTCTAAAATTCTGTTTTAATTGTTTTTCGCTGTTTACATTGGAACTTTGGAACCACAAAAACATGTTTACCGAGCGTATCGTTTTTTCTTCAAATGACATTGGTTCGTCTGTCTGTATGTTATTTCTGCTACTCTCTCATTCAACACTTTGGGGGATTTAATGTTGAAGTTTCTATTCTTCATATATAGACAAGACTAAAGTGTATACCAGTATTGCCATGTAAATGAGTCAGCAAATGTAATGAATTATCATGGAGTGACACTTGGTTTATCCCACACACCAAATCATGCATATAAGCATACCCCATTCAAACAGCGTCCATTGTTCATTCATCCATGCTATTTGATTCTTATCAGCACTGGATATACAGCAGGAACAGTGACTTTTAATTTGTATTCATTGGGACTGTAAACCCCTTCCTTTTTATGCTGAAGACAAGAGGATACTCAACCTAATCAAGGTAATGCTTAGAATAAAATAAATTTGCCATATAGTGTTGAATGATCAAATGGCCCTGTGTTTTGGACAATCATATCACATGATCTGGATTTTAACCTTTATTTAAAGCTTTTTCAACAACCAGTCTCCTTTTCTTTTTATGTCAGATGGTCCAGCACCATCCTCAGACAGTTGCTAAAATGTTTGGTGTAATTCTAATTTCTGTCTTAAAATAAAGGTTAAAATCTAGGTAATGTGACATGATAGTTCAAAACACAGGGCCCTATGGAATGAATTATGTTAAATTATAATGTATTCAATAAACCTTTGGTACTCAACATTGCTCGTCAAGTTTACTATGTTAAAAACATTGACATTTATTTTACTCTTTCAGAAATGAAGGAAAAGAAATTGGAGATTTTGAGGACCACCTTTTATGTTTTATTTGTGGCAACAGTAGCATCTTCAAAACCAGTAAGAGTGTCCCAGTTGTTTTCGATACATCTGTAATTATTGTATTATAATGTGCACTGTGACACAAAGTCAGTGAATGGAGAATGTGTCAAAAGTGTGCTATGCTATTTTTCTCCACTAAAATAGTATTTATATTTGTGAAAACAGGTCAGTCTACATGGATTCCAATTCAGAAACATGATGGCTGACAGCCTGGAATCGTCTGAGTCCTCAGAGTCCAGCAAGTCTTCCTCAGAGAATGGTCAGCCAATGGTCACTGGCGCTGAGACCGCAATACCAGACACCCAGGAGGAGACAGACCTACCAGACAGCGAAGCTATAGCCTCTGAAACAGCCTCAGAAGTTGATGATGCTTTAATTGCTTCACAAACCGCACTTCAAACTGACGCCTCATCAGCAGATGCACTAAATGGGACAGAAACCGAGGCTACCTCACAGCATCCAGTCATCATCGCAGTGTCTGATTCTCGCAGTCTGACTTCTGATGATGTCGCAACCCATATACGGTCTATGGTCACAACGGCTCTGCCATCAATCACTGACACATCCACAATCCAAACATTCCATGTGGGCACAACTCCTCCCCCGGGTCCATACCCCATACCCATTATGGAGCAGCCAACACCTCCACCAGTCTCCCCAGTACTAAGCCTAACTCCCCAGCAGCCAGTTCCATTGGGAACCACTGATGACATAACTGGTGTGCCAGGTTGTTTTACTGTAGTATACATCACCAGCCCTCGTGGTCAGCCAGTTCCTGCTACAGGTGATAACATTTAAAGCAGAGAGGAAGTTATTATACCTTTGATTAAAGCCAGACATAAAAGCTGGCTTTTTTTTTCATTTGTCTTTATGAGCATATGAGCGCATTGCTGCCACCTAGTGAGCTGCCGGGGCGCCCGCGCTACAACTGGCTGAAATGCTCATGAAAATGATTCAATATAATATATAATATAATATGCCACTTAGCAGACGCTTTTATATATCCATCATCTGCAGTATATAAGTGATAAAGATGTAGATATAGATATACTGTACTTCATATTGCTCAGTGTCTTCCATGAGACAGTCTCCAATTTATTTGTATTTTTTCCCATATTTTGTCTGATTTATTTTGAAAGGTGACACAGATTGCATAAACATTGTGAACAACCTTTTAGTCTACTTGCAAAAGAGGATCTGCCATCTGTAAATAAATGCTCTTGAAATATTTAGAAAAATGACTTTTTCTTGTGTTGCAGAATGTGTTTGGGCTTTTGATTATACTGCTAAACGTATTCCAGGCGATTTGTAGACAATGCCAGCTGTTGGGCATTCTTTGTGACTCCCATTGTGTCCTCATTTATCATTGAATGATGATACATTCCTGGTTTAGTAAGCAGCTTTATCTAAATTTGTACTGTAAAGCTTGTCCTTGAGTACAATTGAATGTATGACCCAGAAAGAGACAGAGATCCTGGAGCAGATGGCATTTAACTTCTGGTATGAATGCAATGCAGTGAGTGAACAAGTGAGTGTTGTTTTTTCCGGTATTACAGAGACACTTTTGTTGAGAGATACCAAAGCTCATGGCATGAAGTATGTTTGCCAACACACATTGATCATTTACTTGTGACACACAGACACAGAAAAATCATTTCAAATAGCTTCATAACTTGGACCCCAAATAAACGTTTTAAAGTTGTACTTTTTAATATTCCTACATGGAACATATAGGGACCATAGACCAAGCTGGACCACTAACAGTCAATCTACCATACAAAAGGCAACAGAAGGTAGCTAAATGTATCTGCCACGTTGTATAGATTATAACCTGCAACCTGGTTAGCCCCTTTTTGTCCTGAGATGATAACAGTCTGTAATCTGATGCGTTGCAATTGTTAAGCTCTTGAGCCGCTTAAAACCACTTGTGGTGTAAAATGCATACTCATCTGATAATGTGGACAGAGCAGCATATTAACATGAATAGCCTGCTCAGAAATACCCTCTATTTTCTAGCACTTATTAGGCACTGTTTTTTATAATTCCCAACTGAAAGAAGTAAGATGTCTTCATTGGGAATTATATTCATGAACATTTATAAAATGTTGATTGACTTTTCAAAGCCTTTTATTCAAGTACCTGTAAAGATGTGTAATATTCATAATTTGAATCTACTGTACATAGATTAAACACTCTTTACAGTCCGTTTGTAGGTCCTATTGAAATCCACGTAAACCTATGGTATGATACTGCTTGTGACTGAGTACTACACCCTAATAAGTCTTGATCTGTGTCTAACTACTGTAACGACCAGGTCTGTCTAGTCAGCAACAAACACTATTTCTGCATCTTCTTCACTTAAATACAAAAACGTTGTAGTAAAAATAAAATAAACAAATGCTTGTTCCTAGGGATGAGGTCAGTTATAGTTTAAGTCAGAACACTTTTAATCAAATTTCAATTTAGATTGACCCGTCCCCGACCCTCAGTGCACTAGTTCATACAACCATGTTTTTTGTGACACACTAACATAGTTCTCCTGAGCCTGGCAGCTCCATTTAAACATCAAGGCTATAACAAGTTCAGCTTAAGTCCTTAATTGCTTTAACCAATAGACTGGTTTGGGAACAGATGAGAAAAAATGAAATAAATTATATTGTACAGTAACTGGCCCAGTACAAGTGTTTGTCTGGTTCTGTGTGTAGACCTTTTAATCAGCAAGTCAATAATCTGATATCCTATAAGAGGATTCCTTTTCCAAGCCAAGTTATGTCAGACAATAAAATGGCTGTTGAGTTCTTTTATAGAATGAATATCTTCTCTACGATCACTGTCACTCTCAGTCTTCTTGTCAGTGTTATTTTATATAATTGTTCTCCATGTGTAGTTGTAACATAATTAACATAATAATTTCTGTAATTTAATATCTTGTCAAAATGAGCTTGTGGCCTCGATTCTAATAGGCTGAGAGAGACCACAGACACCTGTTGTCCACTCTTACAGGAAGCATGTTAATGTCTTAAAGACTTTACCCTCTTTAAACACCCCCACACCCTCTTTGTTCTCCTGCAGCACAGGGGTCTCTATGTCATTACAATCTGGCAATAAACAATTAACAATAACATTCAGACTATTTTCTGGAATTAAGTGAAAACCAAAATGAATGCATTGTATCTCAAGAGAATACAAAAATCCCCTCGGTTGGAGAATCATTAATTCAAATTCTTAATTTGTCCCCTAAGCCTAAGGAAACGAACCATCACCTAATCTTTACATTCTTAAGAGACAATGGATTAGCCTACAACTAGATCACTCAATTGGAGCAGTGCTTGGCCAGCGTTCATGAACGCATGTACTCAGCAGTATCAGTCGACAAGGATGGAGTTGAGGTAACGGCAGCACTTACTCTGCCCAAAACAACACTACAGCAAACCTATTGATGAATTCATGAAGGGGAGAGTTCATGTATCGGTTTGTCTTCGTATACTCAGTTTAATGACACATACCGTATACAGACTTGTTTACAGACTCTAAGGATGTGAGTTGATGAAGTATGTTCACTGACACGTCAGTGACAGGACAGACGTATTTGTATTTGTATTTATTAGGGATTCCCATTAGCTGCTGTCAAGGCAGCAGCTACTCTTCCTGGGGTCCAAACACATTAAGGCACTTACATTACACACAGGGCCAGAGAGCTCGGGAGGGGATAATGGTCTGTAAATGTTCTGTAAGCACACGGATCCTCTCAGTCAGCAACATTGATGGGACCGTGGCACGCAATGCATCCTGCTAACATCCTCTGCATGCGCTTAATTAGAAGGGGGTATTAAAGTAGAACAGTAATGCTCCCAGATTTGAATCTGCCGTCTGCTGTGTAGCCCACGGAAGGCAACGACATGGGAAGCACCGGGAGGATGCTCAACATGTGGAACAGGAGACAGAGCCTCTTCCCCAACTACAAAGTCACTGGGCCTAGTGCCGAACATAGAAGACCCTCAGAAGACAGCGCCCTTCCATTCACCAAGGACAGCTGTATAAAAGAATGGAATTCCATGCAGGAACTGAGCAGGGACATTTATGACATCTACTCTGAGTATGAGGATGACGAAGATGAGAGGCCTTCGGCTCTTCTTTCAAGGCTGGCTTCACCCACCAAGAATTACAATCTCAACATCAATGTTGGGGGGAAGTCCTATCAGATAGCTTACCGGTTGGCGGCCAGGTACCCCAAAACTAGGATAGGGCGGCTTGCCACCTATACAGACCACAACAAGAAACTGGACCTATGTGACGATTACCAAGTCAAGAAAAATGAGTACTTCTTCGACAGGGACCCAGAGGTTTTCAACAACATCTTCACCTTCTACAGAACTGGGGTGCTGTGGATAAAAGACGAGCTGTGTCCCAGAAACTTTCTGGAGGAGATCAACTACTGGGGTGTGAGGATCAAAAACACCCACCGCTGCTGCCGGATCTCCTTTGAGGAGCGGCAGGACGAAATAAACGAGCAGCTGAACATCCAGAGAGAGCTGGAGGCCGAGGTGGAGATCGAGGAGAACGAGGAGCTGTTTCAGGACATGTTCATGGGCTATAACCGAAGAGTGATCTGGAACCTGATGGAGAAACCTTTCTCCTCCGTCCCTGCCAAGCTCATGGCCTTGGTCTCCAGCCTGTTCGTCCTGGTATCCCTGGTGGCCATGACACTCAACACAGTAGAGGATATGCAGTACAAGACTCCCTCTGGCCAACTGAGCGGAAAGACTTACTGTGAATTTGTGGAGTCTCTGTGCATTGCCTTTTTCACCATGGAGTATCTGCTCAGGCTGGTGTCCACACCTGACCTCCAGACCTTCGCCAGGAGCATGCTCAACACGGTGGACCTGATCGCTATTCTACCTCAGTACCTGCAGCTGGCTTTGGAGTGCTTTGAGAACAATGACTACGTGAAGCACGAACACGACATGAGGACAGTTGGACAGGTGGGGAAGCTGGGCCAGGTGCTGCGGATCATGCGGCTGATGCGTATATTTCGTATCTTGAAGCTGGCGCGCCACTCCACCGGACTGAGGGCATTTGGCTTCACACTCCGCCAGTGCTACCAGCAGGTGGGCTGCCTCTTCCTCTTCATCGCCATGGGAATCTTCGCCTTCTCTGCCATGGTCTACACTGTGGAGCACGACGTTCCCCAAACCAACTTCACAAGCATCCCCCATGCATGGTGGTGGGCTGCGGTAAGTATATTAGTTTATAATAGGCCATTAGGAGTTTTAAAAAAGGCTGTCTAATTTTCATTCTCTGTAGCTTTATATTCAGCTATGTTTCTGGTGATCTTCCAGCGATGATGCAGTGAGGCTCAGGTCTGGCTTCAGGTCTGTAGTGTGTCCGGTCTATGGCTTGCTCAGTAGTCACCTCATAATACTACCTACTGCAGTGTGTACTAATGGCGGTCAGTGGTGTCCACTAACTGAATGATAAGCTTAAACACTGATCTAAGTAACGGTAACCTTTTCACATTAACTGCATGGCCTGATATTACTTAAATGGGTGGTTTATACAGTGGGGGAAAAAAGTATTTAGTCAGCCACCAATTGTGCAAGTTCTCCCACTTAAAAAGATGAGAGGCCTGTAATTTTCATCATAGGTACACGTCAACTATGACAGACAAAATGAGAAAAAAAATCCAGAAAATCACATTGTAGGATTTTTAATGAATTTATTTGCAAATCATGGTGGAAAATAAGTATTTGGTCAATAACAAAAGTTTCTCAATACTTTGTTATATACCCTTTGTTGGCAATGACACAGGTCAAACGTTTTCTGTAAGTCTTCACAAGGTTTTCACACACTGTTGCTGGTATTTTGGCCCATTCCTCCATGCAGATCTCCTCTAGAGCAGTGATGTTTTGGGGCTGTCGCTGGGCAACACAGACTTTCAACTCCCTCCAAAGATTTTCTATGGGGTTGAGATCTGGAGACTGGCTAGGCCACTCCAGGACCTTGAAATGCTTCTTACGAAGCCACTCCTTCGTTGCCCGGGCGGTGTGTTAGGGATCATTGTCATGCTGAAAGACCCAGCCACGTTTCATCTTCAATGCCCTTGCTGATGGAAGGAGGTTTTCACTTAAAATCTCACGATACATGGCCCCATTCATTCTTTCCTTTACACGGATCAGTCGTCCTGGTCCCTTTGCAGAAAAACAGCCCCAAAGCATGATGTTTCCACCCCCATGCTTCACAGTAGGTATGGTGTTCTTTGGATGCAACTCAGCATTCTTTGTCCTCCAAACACGAAGAGTTTAGTTTTTACCAAAAAGTTATATTTTGGTTTCATCTGACCATATGACATTCTCCCAATCCTCTTCTGGATCATCCAAATGCACTCTAGCAAACTTCAGACGGGCCTGGACATGTACTGGCTTAAGCAGGGGTACACGTCTGGCACTGCAGGATTTGAGACCCTGGCGGCGTAGTGTGGTTCTGGGATTTTTGCTCACCGTTCTTGTGATCATTTTGACCCCACGGGGTGAGGTCTTGCGTGGAGCCCCAGATCGAGGGAGATTATCAGTGGTCTTGTATGTCTTCCATTTCCTAATAATTGCTCCCACAGTTGATTTCTTCAAACCAAGCTGCTTACCTATTGCAGATTCAGTCTTCCCAGCCTGGTGCAGGTCTACAATTTTGTTTCTGGTGTCCTTTGACAGCTCTTTGGTCTTGGCCATAGTGGAGTTTGGAGTGTGACTGTTTGAGGTTGTGGACAGGTGTCTTTTATACTGATAACAAGTTCAAACAGGTGCCATTAATACAGGTAACGAGTGGAGGACAGAGGAGCCTCTTAAAGAAGAAGTTACAGGTCTGTGAGAGACAGAAATCTTGCTTGTTTGTAGGTGACCAAATACTTATTTTCCACCATAATTTGAAAATAAATTCATTAAAAATCCTACAATGTGATTTTCTGGATTTTATTTCCTCAATTTGTCTGTCATAGTTGACGTGTACCTATGAGGAAAATTACAGGCCTCTCTCATATTTTTAAGTGGGAGAACTTGCACAATTGGTGGCTGACTAAATACTTTTTTCCCCCACTGTATGGTTCCTGGATGGTGTCTTAATACTATAATACTATTACAGGGTGGACTTCAGGTCAGCGCACCTCCATTAGAATATGTGTATCTGTCCATGTCTGTGGTTGTTCACATGAAGCATGCCTTATGTGCTTAATTATGATCAACACTCTGGACATAAAGTCAGGACACCTTTAGGCCCCGTATATCTCTGTCTGAAATGGTATGATAGGAATTTCTTAAGTTGTGACTGAAGTGGGACAGATAACACTTTTACATTTCACTGTGAAAGGGGTTCAAGTTCCATAACTCTTGTAATTTCTGCCATCCAGGTGAGCATTTCCACCGTGGGCTATGGAGACATGTATCCAGAGACTATCCTGGGGCGTCTCTTTGCTTTCTTCTGTATTTCCTTTGGAATCATACTGAACGGCTTGCCCATCTCCATCCTCTTCAACAAGTTCTCAGACTACTATGCCAAACTCAAATCCCACGAGTACACCGCAAACATGAAGAACCGGGGGAAAGTTAGGTTTGCCAAAAGGACAGCAATGAAGATCTCACTTTGTTGTGGAGTTGGACACACTACATGATGCTACAGCTAACTGTTTAGGACTTCGTAGGACACAATATCTGCCTGATATTCCTTACATTGGCAACATATATTGTATTGAATTAATGTAATGTTAACTTTGAAACCGCTGAAAACCCATGCACCCTCTTGTCTTACCCGTCAGATATGCTTCTCCAGGGGTGGAAATGGGAAGGAGCCTGGGGGAAGGAGCCCGGGGGAAGGGGTTTCCGGGAGTGAAACCATTTTGCAATGTAAAAATGTGCAGTTTTACATTGAATTCATAGATTTTACATTGGAGGGTTCCAGGAGAGATTTTCTTTCTCCATTTCTACCCCTGCGCTTCACCCATATTACCCAATGAGAGTGCTTCTCCCCCAAAGGGTAACAATACCATATAGACAGAGCATTGTCATAAAGAGCTCCACAGGTATCGAGCAACTTGCCCTGTCAGGTCAAGTTCATTTTATTGCTCCTTTTGTTTTGTTTTTGTTTTTTTGTTGTTGTTTTTTTTTGGGGGGGGGGTTGCATTTAATGATTGAAACACTTTCTATTTTGCTTAATGTCCTTTATGTCACATGCTGCTTTTTTATTATATATATATATATATATTTTAACACTTGAATAACATGGAGCTTTTATGAGATTTGATTTTGCAATCCTATCATGTACGTATGTTCAATAAAGAGAAATAATGCTACATGATTTTTGTATGTGCCATTAAATTACTGTTGCAAAGATAAACATGATCACTCACTAATAAAGCAATTTTGTGTACATTTTAGGGTAGCCTATGAAATAGGCCCTGCCATGCCTTGAACTCTTTAACCTGTTAATCAAATCAAATCAAATCAAGATTTATTTATACAGCACATTTTAGACATGGAACGCAACGCAATGTGCTTTACAGGAAAACAAATAAAAAACAATGAATATAAAAGCTGAAATATTTACTACACAACAAACAAGATAAAAAACAAAAGAATGACACAAACTGAACTAAAAAGCACCCTGGGGAAAAGCTAAGCTAAAAAGATGTGCTTTAAGATCTCTTATGTCAACATTTTCAGCCCCCCTCAGCTTCTCTGGCAGGCTATTCCAGAGGCTGGGGGCATAATTGTTGTCATTCATGTGTCATGCGGAGCAAGATTGAGGCCAAGTCACAGATGGAAAAACAAAACAATATAGTTTAGCTACTACAGCAGGAGTAGATCCCATACGCTACTAATCTGTCTGATCCTGCCCAATTAGACTGCTGCCTGTCTGAAGCAAAGACCCACAAAAGCTTGCAGCTGCTGGCATCTTGTGGTTAGTGTTGATAGTGCAGAAAGTAGTAGGGCGAGTTTATGACGTCACACTTGATAATCTAGAACATCTAGCTAAATACTCGGTTATGAAGTTGAGGATTATAAAGTCTGATAAAAATTAGTTTTTTTTTGTCATTTTATAAAACATATGAACGTGAAGTTTTTTTTTACTAGTTATCACAGCCACAAAGTCAAAATGGCCTATATCGTAAAAATTCATGACAACAAAGATTCATTTTTTGGTCGTAATTTAAGGTTAGGGTTAGGTATAAAGTTAGCAGTGTGGTTAAGGTTAGGGTTAGGTATAAAAAAAAAATTAGGTAAGAGAATTGTTAAAATAGGCGGGGTCTATGACTTTGTGGCTGTGATAACTACGACCTGCGTTCCTTGGGGAAGACTAAAATTATACCGTCCCTACCCTATTGAAATTGACATTTAAAATGGTTAAATTAAGGATTAAGGTTAGGTAAGGGTTATGGTTAGGGGGAGGGACGTCCCACTGATCCTCGATAGCACTAACCAAAATTAGACGCCGGTTTTTTCCCACAATCCTTTTCACCAGTAAAGTGACCTCTGGTGTGCAAGATTTCAGAGCAGGCTAACCAACCCAAACCAGCAGCAAAATGGTCCCACCAGTGGCAGTGTCACCGCTTATTAAGGTTTGTGGCAACACATTTGTGTAACATGCTGTTGAAAGTAGTTTTGTTTAAAAATAAATCGTGAATGGTTTCCTAATTTGCAGCTAGCAAGTTGCATAACAATGCTGCATTGTCCAAGACCACTGCCAAAGTTAAAGACCCCTGGCTAGCTAACAACCTAGTGGAATAATTAATAGCTAGCTACATTTTCAACAAATAGTTATTACTTACAAACCTGCAATCATTTACGCATGTTATGCATCAGCTAACAGCTTTGACATTGCATGCAGATAGATTGTTGTTGTTAAGTTAGCTTTAGCGTTGTGACGCACACACCCCATGAATTAGCTAGCATTTGGCTAATGTTAGCATGAAATCATTGCCTGAGTGACACTGTCTGATGTGTCATTTGTTTCTCATTACAGACAGCAAGGTACTCAGCGTTGATAGCTGGTATCGTCTTTGGCAAGAGGAGATATGGTGAGTTGTGAACCTTGAATAAAGGTTTTGCATTGACTAGCTGTGCAGACAGGCAGCATGCTATATGGGCGCCTCAGGTGGTGGTGTACTGACGTTAGAGTACTGAATGTCCTATACTGTAGCCACATACAGTAACGTTAGCTAAGCTAACAACCATAACATTGAAGCCATGCAGGCACTGACCTCGAACTTGTTGAAAAACAGCAATACAACTGACTTTACATTAATAGGATACTTCATAGTTCTTCACATAAATAGAGGACATGATTATGTGAAATCATTTTTAGAAGTAATTCCATTTAAGTTATGAATTTAACACCCTCTCCCCCTCTAAATTAATTTCAGATGAACTAAAGCCCATTGCTGCGGAGGAGAGAAGGATTGAGGAGGAGGAGAAGAAGGTTCGGGAAGAACAAGAAAAAATTGCCAAAGCTCTAGCTGAAGGTAAACGTCCATGTTTGTTTTTAAGAAATTACTGGAAATGTGCTACCTCATGTTTGTCCTTTGAGTAAAAAAATATGTGCATGTGCACAATAGATTTTTTGCATATTCTATAGGAATAGCCTGAATAATAACCGATGGCAGTAAAACCTGCTGCGTCATGTTATTCAAACTCTTAATTGTTTCTGTATAGAAACTTGACATCTACTTTTTTTCTGGTCTCTCACTACAGCCAGTGAAGAGTCCATTTTGAAATGAGCTGGCACTGGGAGAAGTTACTGTGAAGCTCTTTACTCTGCTCCTTTATTTTTCCACTCTTATTTTCCTGGATATACTTGGTACAAAACTCTCCAGCACAGTTATTTTATTGACATGTGCACTCTAACCGATGAACCCTCACTTGGTCTGGAGACCAAATATAGTATTTTGTAGTTATTCAAATGGCATGTAAAATAATGGCTTTCTATTTGAATTCAGAACTGTAATATCACAAATGTAGTATTGTAAGTAAAGTTAAATGTTTGTACCCTTGTTACACACCCTCATAACAATGTCATACATGCTACATGATAAATAAATGGTAAATATTTATTATGTCTTTGAATCTTCATCCTTTCTCCATTTTCCTTGCACTTGCTTAACTAACTTTTTTCGTCACACTTGCTTTGTTTTTAAGTCATGGATATTGTCGTAGTAAATATATAATGTTATAGCTTGGTCTGACTAAAATCTTGTGCATGACCCATTTTGTGTTGGGCCTTTGTATTCAATACAATGAACAAGAGTCCTATCTTGTCAGCCTTATCAGCAGGTGGCTAAGGACAACACCCACGCCATAGGTCTCTCAGTTCTTCCAACTCACGAGTTCTTGCTCTGAGGACACACACACACACACCCACACACACACACACACACACACACACACACACACACACACATCATCACTGATAAACACACACACACACATCATCAATGATAACAAACACACACACACACACACACACACAATCCCCTTCTCTTAGGCTGAACATCTGAAGACAGAGAACCCGACTCAGAGCCAATGCAACAGTGATACTAACCTGAAGGGGACCTCGCCCAACTCATCAGGACCAATCAGAAGATCAGAACTACTAGATTCAACCTACTTCATTTTATTGTATAAAATGTCAGCACACAATGTTTCGGGGCTCTCTCAGATATCTCCCTACGAGATTGACGAACGGGTCCGTGCACGCGATTCCAGATATCTTTACCTCTGAATAAACTGCCTTTTATTATACAATTATCCACCTTGTCCAAAAGTCTCTACTTGGTCTCCGTTCTCCAGTAAACTTGTTTTATCAACAATATGCTATTATGGAATTATTATTTTTTTACTGTAGTCTACGCTATATGAAGCATCATTCATCAACCATCAACTAATATTTATTGTTCTTTCACATTAGTGTACTTCCTAATCTTCTAGACACTATAAAACTGAAACTACAAAAATTATTACATGAAACAAGATCCTACTGTTCGGTGTCATGGCCATGCACGTGAATAGGAGGACTGTGGTCTGCTGTCATGACTGGAGTGGATCCAACACCTTCTTTCAGGTGAAGCAGACCCTTGACCTGGCACTAGCCAAAAGCCAAAGGTGCCAAGCCACAGTAATTCAAGCTCATCCCCAGGCTAAATGTAAGCAGCAACAATGACAGAAGTGGTTAATAATAGAAAAACAAAAGCTTTATTTGTCAACTACATATATTAACTATAGCGCACCTTATAAATTAGTAAGAGATGTGTTCCAATGTATGGCCTTCCTCACTGAAATAATTTTCAGAAATGACAGGGTTGTGACACTTATGCACCCATTTCACCTGGCGTCAACCCTCTTGTAATGCGCTTCAGCAGTCTCCTGCCCAAGAACGTTTTGTCTGGGATTACAGAATCAAACTGGTGCAACAGACCATGTTACTTAACCCAGGGGCAGGAACATAAAGTCCCACGTGGACTGTTAATTTCATAAAGCGTGTATTCTTACAATTGAATAATTTGTTGTTTACTCTTACTTCGGCTGCCTGAACTTGACATTCAATCCCTCTATTTATCCTTATTCAATGAATATATTTTATGTGAGTTCAAAGAAAGTGATACCAACTGATAAGAAATACATGTCATTTATTTCCATTTAATTTACTTTACATGTAACTAAGGAACTATCTAATAACTTCAATTTGCCATGCCCATGTGTAAACAGTACTTTGGCTTGGCTGAGGTGAGGTTAAGGTGAACTAATTCCCTAGATGTGCTTTCTCTGTGTTTAGACTAATATACACCCCTGCTACAATTACATAAAGCCATTTCATTGTTTGTATGGGAGAGTTCAACAGCTTACTGACAGGATTTTGTTAACTGGATTAGTAATAGATTAAGATTTAACCTTCCATTTAGGACCAAGATGTGAAAATAATCAGTGAGCTCGTCTGTGCCTTGGGTATATAAGGATCCTAGGCAGAAGAGAAACACATACCTACAACTTCATTGAAGCTTAACCTCTTGCTTTGTTCCTGAACAGGTATGTTTTTGCATCTTTTCATGGGAATGTTGTTAAAATGTTGCTGCTAATATTGTTTAGTTATGGGCTTTTATAAAGAGTGGTTTGTAAATAGATTTGTCTGGGACCAATTTGTAGAGAAACTTTCCATCATAGTCAGCTTCTCAGTTTACCAAGTAATGATATGTAAATGTGGTTACCAATTGAGAGGAACAGCTATTGTGCTCTATCAAAATATTGATTTGTTTTTGTTATTACATACAGTGGGGGAGAAAAAAGTATTTAGTCAGCCACCAATTGTGCAAGTTCTCCCACTTAAAAAGATGAGAGGCCTGTAATTTTCATCATAGGTACACGTCAACTATGACAGACAAAATGAGAAAAAAAATCCAGAAAATCACATTGTAGGATTTTTAATGAATTTATTTGTAAATTATGGTGGAAAATAAGTATTTGGTCAATAACAAAAGTTTATCAATACTTTGTTATATACCCTTTGTTGGCAATGACACAGGTCAAACGTTTTCTGTAAGTCTTCACAAGGTTTTCACACACTGTTGCTGGTATTTTGGCCCATTCCTCCATGCAGATCTCCTCTAGAGCAGTGATGTTTTGGGGCTGTCGCTGGGCAACACGGACTTTCAACTCCCTCCAAAGATTTTCTATGGGGTTGAGATCTGGAGACTGGCTAGGCCACTCCAGGACCTTGAAATGCTTCTTACGAAGCCACTCCTTCGTTGCCCGGGCGGTGTGTTTGGGATCATTGTCATGCTGAAAGACCCAGCCACGTTTCATCTTCAATGCCCTTGCTGATGGAAGGAGGTTTTCACTCAAAATCTCACGATACATGGCCCCATTCATTCTTTCCTTTACACCAGGGTTCTTCAATTCCGGTCCTGGAGGGCCGAAACACCTCTGTTTTTCATCCTCTCCTTCTAATCAGGGGCTAATTCAGACCTGGGACACCAGGTGAGTGCAATTAACTACCAGGTAGAAATAAAAAACAGAAGTGTTTCGGCCCTCCAGGACCGGAATTGAAGAACCCTGCTTTACACGGATCAGTCGTCCTGGTCCCTTTGCAGAAAAACAGCCCCAAAGCATGATGTTTCCACCCCCATGCTTCACAGTAGGTATGGTGTTCTTTGGATGCAACTCAGCATTCTTTTTCCTCCAAACACGACGAGTTGAGTTTTTACCAAAAAGTTATATTTTGGTTTCATCTGACCATATGACATTCTCCCAATCCTCTTCTGGATCATCCAAATGCACTCTAGCAAACTTCAGACGGGCCTGGACATGTACTGGCTTAAGCAGGGGGACACGTCTGGCACTGCAGGATTTGAGTCCCTGGCGGCATAGTGTGTTACTGATGGTAGGCTTTGTTACTTTGGTCCCAGCTCTCTGCAGGTCATTCACTAGCTCACCGTTCTTGTGATCATTTTGACCCCACGGGGTGAGATCTTGCGTGGAGCCCCAGATCGAGGGAGATTATCAGTGGTCTTGTATGTCTTCCATTTCCTAATAATTGCTCCCACAGTTGATTTCTTCAAACCAAGCTGCTTACCTATTGCAGATTCAGTCTTCCCAGCCTGGTGCAGGTCTACAATTTTGTTTCTGGTGTCCTTTGACAGCTCTTTGGTCTTGGCCATAGTGGAGTTTGGAGTGTGACTGTTTGAGGTTGTGGACAGGTGTCTTTTATACTGATAACAAGTTCAAACAGGTGCCATTAATACAGGTAACGAGTGGAGGACAGAGGAGCCTCTTAAAGAAGAAGTTACAGGTACTTAATTTCCACCATAATTTGCAAATAAAATCATAAAGAATCCTACAATGTGATTTTCTGGAGAAAAAAAATCTCAATTTGTCTGTCATAGTTGACGTGTACCTATGATGAAAATTACATGCCTCTCTCATCTTTTTAAGTGGGAGAACTTGCACAATTGGTGGCTGACTAAATACATTTTTTCCCCACTGTATGTATGAAGTTATACTAAAGGAACTTCACTCTTCTCTAGAAATGGACTTCCATATGCTGCCCCTTGTGGTGGTGCTCCTGGCGGGTCTGGAGCAGAGTTGGGCCGCCTCCTGTGTGGTGGACAGTTTCAATGTCAAGGAGGACTTTGACCCCAAGAGAGTGAGTAAAACAAACAGCCCACATGTTGTACAGTAGATATTCTATAGTAGACCTACTTGTCCTGCAAGGCCCTACATCTATCTGTTTTTTTATGTGCTAGTGCTACAGTACGCAGCTAGAAAAATAGTTGTAACACTATTGCTCCAGTATGGAGGAAATAATCATTGCCAAGGCTACCTGCAAGGCCTTTTAATCAACCAGTTTTTTTGTGTGTGCTCCAGTATGCAGGGAAGTGGTACGCTCTGCAGAAGAAGGACCCTGAGGGACTGTTCCTCCAGGACAACATCTCAGCTGAGTACACCATCGGTGACGACGGCTCTATGGTCGCCTCCTCCAAGGGACGTGTCACACTTTTCGGGTAAGAGCTGCCTGGAGATTATTTCAGATGAAACGGCAATAGTCTTAAAAATTGGACATGGCTTTCCGAATCGGTGTATAAGGGTCAAACTGAAAACCTTATGTCTACTACATGTTTGTAAGTTAAAGCCATTTCACATGAATACTGTATCTATGATGTTGATTTGAAATACTTTCCCCTATTTACAGATTCTGGGTTGTGTGCGCTGACATGGCTGCCCAGTACACTGTGCCGGACTCTGCCAACCCTGGAAAGATGTTCATGAACTACCAGGGCCTGGCCAGTTATCTGTCCAGCGGAGGTACGTCTTCTGAATATACACAAATACACTTAGAGGCAGAGACGCAGCAATAGCAACCAGTAAGACGCGCTCGATACTCACAATACTCTCCTCTTCTTTCAGGTGACAACTACTGGGTGATCGACACCGACTATGACAACTATGCCATCACCTATGCCTGCCGTACCCTGAAGGACGATGGAAGCTGTGAGGATGGCTACTCCCTGATCTTCTCCCGTAACCCTCGTGGCCTGCCACCAGCCATCCAGAGGAGCATTCGCGCCAAGCAGGAAGAGATCTGCATGGCTGGACAGTTTGAGCCCGTGCTGCAGTCTGGTACGGGTTATATTTTATTTATAAAGCCCTTCTTTCATCAACAATTGTTACGAAGTGCTTTACAGTAATCCAGCCTACACCATCAAAGAGCAAGGATCAGTGTTCAGTCTGCATTACTGTAAATGTTACATGCTGAATGCCGCCTTTACAAACATTTACGGAGTTAACTCATCTCCTACTTAACAAATATTTATTACCAGCATAAATTAGCTTTCTACAACTAAAGCAAATGTAAATTTTTGGGATGTCCAACAAATGTAGCCTCCAGTTGAACCTCTTTCTTTTTCTCTGCTCAACAGGAGCTTGCTAAACGTCTACTCTGAAGGAACTTGTGCTGCCAAGGGATCCCTACAACGTGCTGGCTTGGACAGAGATATTTACTGATGACTGAAGAGGGAAATCGCATAAGAGATTTCTTTTTTTATATAAAAATGATACTATGCCCCCATGTACACTATTAGTCAAAAGTTTGGACACACCTACTCATTCAAGGGTTTTTCTTTATTTTTACATCGTAGAATAATAGTGAAGACATCAAAACTATGAAATAACACATAAGGAATCATGTAGTAAACAAAAGTGTTAAACAAATCAAAATATATTTTATATTTGAGATTCTTCAAATAGCCACTTTGCCTTGATGACAGCTTTGCACACTCTTGGCATTCTCTCAACCAGCTTCACCTGGAATGCTTTTCCAACAGTCTTGAAGGAGTTCCCACATATGCTGAGTACTTGTTGGCTGCTTTTCCTTCACTCTGCGGTCCGACTCATCCCAAATCATCTCAATTGGGTTGAGGTTAGGGATTTGTGGAGGCCAGGTCATCTGATGCAGCACTCCATCACTCTCCTTGGTAAGATAGCCAATACACAGCATGGAGGTGTGTTGGGTCATTGTCCTGTTGAAAAACAAATGATAGTCCCACTAAGCCCAAACCAGATGGGATGGCGTATCGCTGTAGCCATGCTGGTTAAGTGTGCCTTGAATTCTAAATAAATCACACTGTGTCACCAGCAAAACACCTCCATGCTTTACGGTGGGAAACAAACATACGGAGATCATCCGTTCACCCACACTGCATCTCACAAAGAAACAGCGGTTGGAACCAAAAATCTCAAATTTGGACTCCAGACCAAAGGACAAATTTCCACTGGTCTAATATCCATTGCTCGTGTTTCTTGGCCCAAGCATGTCTCTTCTTCTTATTGGTGTCCTTTAGCAGTGGTTTCTTTGCAGCAATTTGATCATGAAGGGCTGATTCACACAGTACCCTCTGAACAGTTGATGTTGAGATGTGTCTGTTACTTGAACTCTGTGAAGCATTTATTTGGGCTGCAATTTCTGAGGCTGGTAACTCTAATGAACTTATCCTCTGCAGCAGAGGTAACTCTGGGTCTTCCAAAGAAATTCCACAAATTAACTTTTAAGGCACACCTGTTAATTGAAATGCATTCCACGAAGCTGGTTGAGAGAATGTGCAAAGCTGTCATCAAGGCAAAGGGTGGCTATTTGAAGAATCTCAAATATAAAATATATTTTGATTTGTTTAACACTTTTGGTTACTACATGATTCCTTGTGTTATTTCATAGTTTTGATGTCTACACTATTATTGTACAATGTAGAAAATAGTAAAAATAAAGAAATGAGAATGTGTGTCCAAACATTTGACTGGTACTGTATACAAAAATAATTATGTCCCTTTGAGCATGACGCCTGCACCAATCCAATGGAGGTAAACTCTACATCACAGAAATACCTATATGAATATTAACACCACCGCATTGTCACTCATACACTGTTCATCAGTTTGTGTTGGCAACAATACAGTTTAAGAAACCGAGTTGTCTTTGTGAATACATTGTCCAGGGGGAAAACATGAGCATTCTAATGTTATCACTGTCTCATGAGCATAAAAAAAAGATTCAAAATGGTAAACAAATAAATCACCAACCTTTTACTTATTGATTGTGAAATTACAAAATATGTCTGTAAAAATAATTCCATGTAAAAAAAACATTTCAGACGTTTTAAATCAACAATAAATTGGAGCAGCAATAATGGCGATGATATTTTCTGAAAGTAGAAATTTAAAAACACTGTACAAAAGCATTTTTAAAAATAACATACTACATTTCAGTCATGGTACCATATAGGAAACACTAGTTGACTTTAGTTTTCCTCTGAATATTTCTCAGTCAGTGAATATTCTCCAGTTCTTCCCCAGTAGTCCACAGCTCGTACTCTGTAGCTACCACTAACTTCCAGGTTTTCTGTAATCAAATGAAATGTTCAAATGTGAATCAACAATGCTTAATACAGGCCAACTATTGCATATTGCATTAGATCACAAAAGTAAGTTCGAACTTTCTAAACCATTCTTACCTGGTGAATATACATAGGACGTGAAAATGGTATCCCGGGTGTTTACCCTCTTGAATTCTTCCTGGTCTTTGGAGAACTCCACCTCAAATGTCTTAATGCACCTACAAATAAAATAGAACATGTCCATCGTCAACTCACCACTAAGTAGAATAGCCTCCCCCTCCCCCCCAAAAAGTACTTACTTGGAATTTACACAATGATCTTTCCACACAATCATAACTTGGCTTTTTGTGATGCTGATGAATCGCAATCCATTCACCTTATTGGAGATCAATAAAATACAATTAGGGTATTGATGATTTAACAGGACTATGAAAATACCACCCTGAGAAATGAAAGAAATTAATCACCAAGGTGTGGATTATACTGTCATCAAAGCCCATGTCAGCTGGTGGCACTGACCTGGTCTGGCGTGGCCTTCGGCTGGGCACACACATGTATGAGGAGGACAGAGGGCACATAGAGCTTGGCCCGCATGGTCAGGATGCCCTCAGCAGGGAAGGGCAGAGGTCCATCCACCTGAGGATCCTGGGGTCAAATCAACACAAAACATTCAGCTCAGCTACAATGGCTGTAGTTCATTCCATAAAAAACTGACCATGTTCATACATTGCTGTCACTTAAAATGAAGAGGAATATATGTGATTGACTGAAATACAAGCTTACTTGTTGAGAGTGAGACTAGTTATTTGAGAGAAGAATCTGTTATTTTAATGGAAGAGTGTTTTTCTTTGTACCTCCATGTTCCTCAGCTGTCTAAACTGCTCTGCTGTGGGGTAGTCTGGGCTGCCCATGCTCTGCCACAGCTGGAATGGGTTGGTCACATTGTTGTCCAGGTAATATTTCACATACAAAAGTCCTAAAGTCAAAATCACAATCATAATTCATGAAACTGCTGAAGTTGAAGTCACTCTTTTGCTCATCTAGTAACACAGGTTAAATCCAATACTTACGGTACTGAGTATGTCAACATACTGTAAAATGAGTTCTAATCCAACTGCAATTTTGTTTGCAACATCAAAGAAGCCCTTAAAGTTGAGTATATACATATGTCCTGATTCGGAGACATTCGTCGACACCCACCTTTCCGTCCTGTGAATCCTTTGAGAGAGACCCTAATGAAGTCTGTTGTGGTGGATGTGCTGTTGTCATCGCTGTTGTAGATCAGCACAGTGGCCTGCCAGCTGTCAGAGGTCCAAGACATGAGGGGGTCATGGGTGCTGGCAAGGACCCCCACAGTGCTGTTGTCGGTCCCCCCAACCTCCACAACCTCAGCCAGTACCTGAGTCTCTCCTTTTTATAAAACAATAATAAAACTAATATCAACTTCATTCAATTTAATAAAGTCATAACATCTGTGTAGACAGATTCAGTCCCACCTAAATTCTGTGGTGGAAAAAACTAACAAGAACTGTTCTATAAAGTTCTATCACTACAAGAAAAGACAACAGCTATTGAAAATAACTACTGAGAGTTACCTAGAAGGGTCAACACAGGTTTGGACAGTCAGAAAGCAGATAGCCTCACCTAGCAGAGCAAGCAGCCCCATGATGGTCAGTACAGGAGATAGCCTCACCTAGCAGAGCAAGCAGCCCCATGATGGTCAGTACAGGAGATAGCCTCACCTAGCAGAGCAAGCAGCCCCATGATGGTCAGTACAGGAGATAGCCTCACCTAGCAGAGCGAGCAGCCCCATGACGGTCAGTACAGGAGATAGCCTCACCTAGCAGAGCGAGCAGCCCCATGACGGTCAGTACAGGAGATAGCCTCACCTAGCAGAGCAAGCAGCCCCATGACGGTCAGTACAGGAGATAGCCTCACCTAGCAGAGCGAGCAGCCCCATGACGGTCAGTACAGGCTTCCTGAGCAGCTGGACGTGGGGGGGCTGGGTGTTGTTGACCTGGAAGCGGGCCGTCAGGGTGCGCTGGGTGAACGGGTGAGGGTGGTAGCTGAGGAAGGCGTTGTCATTGCTCAGCAGGGTGTAGTTGATGGTGTTGTTCTGGTAAGACAACAGCAGGTCCTGGTGTTGGGAGATCACCTAGTGGACAGCAGGGTTTGGGTCAATTTAATTTCAATACAGTCAATTCAATAAGTACAATATACTGAAATTCCAATTCCAATGTTCCTTAATGCATTTCAAAGTTTGGAATTGGAATTTAAATGTATTTCCTGAATTTAAATGGAATTGACCCCAAACCTGGTGGTCATAGGACATAGCAATCAAGACAGACAACAGACAAGTCAGTTGACTGTTTCATACCTTGACCACCATGGCTGCATATGTCACATCAGCCCTCCACACCAGAGGTTTGGACCAGCCCACCAATGGATCGGCCTCATCATTGTAAACCGGCAGAGTTCGGAAGAGAGGGAAATGCTCCTGGATCTCTCTTACTGTCTGGATCTCCTGTTCCATGATGGGTAACGAATAGCCTCCACCCTGAAATAAGTCTCACAAGCCCAAGCCAGTTTTCATTCTGAAACTGTGAGTGCTTCAATTGTCAGGATTAAGCACTATTATCTTGTTAGGAGACAAGAGTCAGACAGAATGATGGTTAAAAGAGAGTAATGAAGGTGTGCAGTTTACACACACACCACATAGTCCCAGTCCCACCTTTTTGTGCAGGGCGATGTAGTCCAGCCGCACCCCTGTCTCCCCAGTGAAGAAGTTGGTGCCATTGTAGCAGTGCTGCAGCATGGACCAGCAGTAGGGGGAGTGTGGTGGGGTGTGGCAGGAGTCTCCTGGACCGCCGAAGCGCAGGGCACTACTGGCAGCCCGCAGGCCCTCAGAACAGGCGTCATAGTAGTTCAGGAACCCTGGAGGTGGAAGCAGACCAATAGTCTCTAGTGGGTGCTGAGATACAGACCAAATACAGACTACATACAAATTATTATTCATCATATGAGATTATATTATGCTTTCTTTCATTCCTTACAAAAAGCATGATGGTACAGGACTGATGCCACCTGTCGGAATAATTGTTTTTTACCTTGGATAGACACAGTGACGTTGTCAAAGTCATGATTGTTCGGTTCATTCCATGTTTCAAAGTTCCACAGAGATACACTTCCCAAGCCATATTTCTCTGTAATTCAGGATGAATAGTGTTAGTGGAGTACACCATTCATATGATCCATAAGATGACATAGGTAACTGTGTGTTCCCCTGTCACTGAACAGTATACTCACCAATATACCTCTTTGCAATGAGATGCACCAGGTTTCTCCACTCCACCACTTGTATTTTGTCCTCAAAGTTGGTGAAGTAGTTGTTCACACTGCCCATCAATTCAAAACCTGCAAAAAACAAGTAGAAACAAAACTCAATCTGAACCATATTCATAGTCAGAGAAAAACACTACTGAGAAAGCATATACTGAACAAAAATATAAACACAACATGTAAAGTTTTGGTCCCATGTTCCATGAGCTGAAATAAAAGATCCCAGAAATGTTCCATACGCACAAAAGTTTATTTCTCTCAAATGTTGTGCACAAATTTGTTTACATCCCTGTAGGTGAGCATATCTCCTTTGCCAAGATAATCCATCCACCTGACAGGTGTGGCATATCAAGAAACTGATTAAACAGCATGGTCATTACACAGGTGCATCTTGTGCTGGGGACAATAAAAGGCCACTCTAAAATGTGCAGTTTTGTCACACAACACAAGGCCACAGATGTCTCAAGTTGAGGGAGCATGCAATTGGCACGTCCACCAGATCTGTTGCCAGAGAATGTAATATTAATTTCTCTACCATATGCTGCCTCTAATGTCGTTTTAGAGAATTTGGCAGTACGTCCAACCGGCCTCACAACTGCAGACCATGTGTAACCACGCCAGCCCAGGACCTCCACATCCAGCTTCTTCCCCTACGGGATCGTCTGAGACCAGCCACCCGGACAGCTGATGAAACTGTGTGTTTGCACAACCGAAGAATTTCTACTGTCAGAAACCGTCTCAGGGAAGCTCATCTGCGTGCTCGTCGTCCTCACCAGGGTCTTGACCTGACTGCAGTTTGGCATTGTAACCGACTTCAGTGGGCAAATGCTCACCTTCGATGGCCACTGGCACGCTGGAGAAGTGTGCTCTTCACGGATGAATCATGGTTTCAACTGTACCGGGCAGATGGCGTCGTGTGGGTGAGCGGTTATGGTATGGGCAGGCATAAGCTATGGACAATGAACACAATTGCATTTTATTGATGGCAATTTGAATGCATGGCGATACCGTGACGAGATCCTGAGGCCCATTGTCTTGCCATTCATTCGCCGCCATCACCTTATGTTTCAGCATGATAATGCATGACCCCATGTCGCAAGGATCTGTACACAATTCCTGGAAGATGAAAATGTCCCATGGCCTGCATACTCACCAGACACGTCACCCATTGCGCATGTTTGGGATGCTCCGGATCGACATGTACAACAGTGTGTTCCAGTTCCGGCCAATATCCAGCAACTTCACACAGCCTTTGAAGAGGAGTGGGACAGCATTCCACAGACCACAATCAACAGCCTGATCAACTCTATGTGAAGGAGATGTGTCGCGCTGCATGAGGCAAATGGTGGGTACACCAGATACTGACTGGTTTTCTGATCCACACCCCAACTTTTTTTTTAAAGGTATCTGTGACCAACAGATGTATTTCTGTATTCCCAGTCATGTGAAATCCATAGATTAGGGCATAATTAATTTATTTAAATTGACTGATTTCCTTACATGAACTGTAACTCTGTAAAATCTTTGAAATTGTTGCATGTTGTGTTTATACTTTTATTCTGTATATATATAATTTGACCAGACCAGATGGTTTAAACTACTGTACCTGGGAGTAGTCCATTTATCCACAAGAGGTCAATCAGCTGGTCCAGTTGGCTAAAGTTGTACTGGAGTTCTCCTTTGTCAATGCTACAAAACAATACTTTAAATTAGATTAACGAGACATATCACAATGGGATATACAACATACAAAGGTCACCTCACATTTACATATTTGATTTACTAACCCACCACAAGGCCCTAAAGCAGGCATCCCCATACTCACTGTGCTGTGATCAGCTCCAGCATCCAGTGGATCCGAACCTGCTGAATCCCCCGGTGGGGGACAGAGCCCACGTAGGCCAGGTTCAGCTCCTGGTCCCTGCTCAGGTCATACTGGTTGGACTGGGTGTGTGGAAGAGGGGGGCTGGAGAGGGGTAGAAAGCATGTGTTTACAATGAACTGAGTTGTCAGGCAAATTGAGCCTGCTCTGTGGTTGCCCCATTGGGAATCCCTGTGTTTACCTAAGTCAATCAGATTCAAAAGACAGATAATACACCTTATGGAACAGCGGGCACTATGAAGAGACACTCACACAGGCATAGACACACATACACATTTACATTTACATTTTAGTCACATGATAATACATGCACTCTACACACATGTACACATGGATTTTGTATTGTAGATATATGATAGTAGATTAGTGGCCTGAGGGAACACACTTAATGTGTTGTGAAAAGTGTTATGAAATGTAAGATTTTAAATTGTATAACTGCCTTAATGTTGCTGGACCCCAGGAAGAGTGCAGCTAACGGGTATCCTTAATAAATACAGAATAGCCTATGACCAATTGGTGTTTTGTATGTGGTCCTGCCCTTATTTTAATGAAATAAGGTATTGTTTTAGTTGAATTTTAAAAAAATAACACTGTTGCAAAGTGCTCATTGACTAACAGAAAGTAGCCATGAAAGGTAGCATAGTCACAAGATTTCACGACATGACTCTGAACTAAATCAAAAAGGTGCATCAGCCTACCAGAAACCAGTGCTCCTCCAGAAATGTTTCAGATTTCCTGATGGCTTTCCGACATCCACTGTGATCTCATATGAAGAGCCGACAGCATTGGGTATTGTCATTAACAATGCAAAGACAAACAAGTTTACAGGGTGCATCAAACTGAACATGTTAGCAAGACAGCTAGCTCAAGCTGCTAACAAAAACGTAGCTAAACACCATCGCACAAGTACTGGCTGCAATTCTTATGACATATCTAGCAGCTAGGCATCATCCTTGAAATAAATGAGCATTTTAAATTATATATCTCAGTAGTTCAAAGATAGCTAGCTAAGTACAGTAGTTGTTTGTTGTTATATGTCGACGTAGCAGTACAGCTCGCTCAGCTGATTGTGCCGACGTAAAACACCCGCGACATTTACTCTTGCCTACTCCATTTCTCCGTAGCATATTTGTTCAGTACCACATTCCACATACAATGGAGGAAAATTATAAATGTTGGTGTTGCGTGCCCTGTAATCGTGTGTGCCTATTTAAAAATTCTTAAATTGTAATAATTTGTTTATGTTAAAGCTAGAATCCTTAGTTGCTACATCCATTTTTGGACTGGTGGACATGGATTCAATTAAGGATTCTAGATTTCAATGCATTAAAATAAATCACAATTTCATTACACGTTATCAGGTTTTATTAATGTTATTCCATTAACAGTTTAATCACAAGAAAAACAATCTATTGCTGCATAAAGACTAATATAATAATATATGCAGTGGTGAAAAAAGTACCCAGTTGTCATACTTGAGTAAAAGTAAAGATTACTTAATGGAAAAAGACTCGATTAAGTAAAAGTGAAAGTCACCCAGTAAAATACTATTTGAGTAAAAGACTAAAAGTATTTGGTCTTAAATATACTTAAGTATCAAAAGTAAAAGTAAATGCTATAAATAATTTCAAATTCCTTATATTAAGCAAACCAGACAGCACAAATTGTATTAGGAAAAAATGTTTTACGGATAGCATTTACATTACATTTATTACATTTATGTCATTTAGCAGACGCTCTTATCCAGAGCGACTTACAGTACATGAGCAATTAGGGTTAAGTGCCTTGCTCAAGGGCACATCGACAGATTTTTCACTTAGTCGGCTCTGGGATTAGAACCAGCGACCTTTCGGTTACTGGCACAATGCTCTTAACCACTAAGCTACCTGCCGCACTCCAACACTCAGACAATTTACGAACAAAGCATTTGTGTTTAGTGAGTCTGCCAGACCAGAGGCAGTAGTGATGACCCCGCGTTCTCTTGATAAGTGCATGATTTAGACCATTTTCCCGTCCTGCTAAGCATTAGAAATGTAAGGACTACTTTTGGGTGTCAGGGAAAATGTATGAGAGTAAAAGTAAAAGTTGTCAAAACTATAAATAGTAAAGTAAAGTAGATACCCCCCAAAAACTACTTAAGTAGTACTTCAAAGTATTTTTACTTAGTTACTTTACACCACTGAATATATGCCATTTAGCAGACACTGTTATCCAAAGCAACTTACAATCATGCATACATACATTTTACGTATGGGTGGTCCTGGGAATCAAACCTACTATCCTGGCATTGCAAGTGCCATGCTCTACCAACTAAGCTACAGAGGACCACTACAAAGTGGAAGAAGCAGGGTTTCTGCTATAAATACAAAAGATACCAGAAAACAAGTACAGGGAATAAACTAAACAGACTCTTCATATTGTGTGGGTAGCTAGTTGTCCTCTACGTGTTGTTGTGGTGGGCAGTCTTCAGTGGATTGTGGTGGGTTGTCCTCAGTGAGTTGTATCTCAGACGGCACGAGAGTTGAAGATGCCTGGCCCCTCTCTCTGAATATGATGGGGGGAGATATGCCCATGGTTGGATAGACTCCCTTGAAGGGGTTCATCTGTGGAGCGAAAGCCCTGAATAAGGGGTTTGGCTGGGGTAGAGCTGGGTTGAAGAAATGGTTGGGATGGAGTAGAGCTGGGTTGTAGTAGCCAGGCATACCCTGTTGTTGAGGGATCAGAGTGATGAAGGAGATACCCTGAGAGTTAGGTTGCTGGGATCCAGGAAGAAGCACACCCTGTTGGGGTCCAGCAGAAGGAATACCTTGTGGGAGTCGGCAAATGGCATATCTTGTGGGAGTCCGGAAAATGGCATACCGTGTGGGGGTGCAGGGAACGTCATACCCTGTTGAGGCATTAAAGGGCCAAAGGGGACTGCAAGTGAGTTGAATGGAATGCCCTGTAGGGTGACTGGTGTGGCCAGTATCACTTCCTGGGTTGGCTGCTCTGGACTCTGGGGGCTGCTACCCTGCACTGGAGCAGTGATGTGGAGGTTGATGGTTTGGGGAAGAACAGGCCCAGGGGGAAAACTCTCTACTGCTAGGAGGAGCTGGGATGGTATGGACAATGATGTTTGGATTGGTTTTAGGAGGCAGATCCAGAGGTAGGGCTTAAGGGGGTTGTGGGGCAGCTGGGACCTGAGGAGGGAGTTGGTTGACTTTTGACAGGGTCTATATAGTCTCAGGCATGAAGAGACGGAGGTCCTGTCCCTATAAAACAACCATCCACCTGTCCGTTTTAATCCATTCATCCAGAAAACATGATGGTATAAAAGCCGTGTAAACGTACTGCCTATGCCTGTGTTATCCTTTCCCTCTTTACTAATACATTTACAACACTTTCTCAAAATATTGATTTATTGTTGCTTTAACTGCAGTATAAAAGATATATCACATTACCTCTTCACTATCACTTGCAGATCGTGCCACTCTTTCATGGTTCTCATTAACCTATAAACAGAGGAGATATTTTACAACACAGTGTCCAGAACAAAGAATGAAAATATTAGAGAATGAAGGGTTCAATTGGCACGGCACTTACCGGGGCAGTATGACATGTAACAAGAAGACCCAGCAACAAAACTACGACTTTCATCCTTACAGTTTCAGAGACCTGTTCAAATGGACTCATAAGAATGTGTTGGCTGCATTTCGTTAGAAAAACATACATTTTGTTAGAGGGGGAATACAGACCTCATCTTTAAAAGAAAAATCATAAAAATACTATGCATGTCTTTTTTATACTTAATCCCTATCTGACAAATCAACGTTAATGTGAAATTGAATTCACAAGACAGAAAGATGTGAACCTAACAAACTGATCAGTATAATAGCAATAAGGATTATTATCTTACCTTAGAGAGCATTCCTGTTAATCTTGAGTCTCTGAATTTTACTCTAACCTAGACATAATATAAATGCTTTCTGTAACTGTTCTGTCATCCAATCAGAACCATTTACAGCCACATTTATCAAACAATGCTTAAATTACAACAACTATTTGCAAACAGATCATTTCATTGCAAAGGAACCGCATAGGCATATTAGTCATATGCAGCACAGTAGAGAAATAGTGATAAACGTGCAAAAATGACCATCACTGAACCTCAGACTGAAACCTTTCCTTTGATTTTAATTGCATGAACACCAAGGTTTGAGGTGAGCAGCATAGCAACCAAACAGAGGAGTACCTGTTCTTGGAACTTAACTATTGTCCTGCCTCCCTTATAGGCAACCCCCTCTATCCTCCTCACACCCATGGCAATGTTTAATGTGAAAATATAAAGATGTATAATAAAATCTAACTCATGAAACATTTTCCCAGCTTCATCTGGGACGCTACAGTACAGAGGTTGGCCTAGATAAATCCTAATTTAGAGGATGGTGACATAAGCAAACAATTGGGTAGTACCTGTTACACCAAGATACCAATGTGGGGAATGGTTTTTGCATGTGGTAAATTCCATCTTCATGAGACAAACTTATTTGTTGAGATATAAATCTAAAGTTAATTAGAAATGAAACAAGTCAACACAAGAACTCTGACAAGGGTTGCAAAATGTGAAAACACCCTTTTAGATGTGGTAGGTGTGTACGTGGTATTTTGATTGGCTGAAAGGCCATGAAAAAATATTTAAAAGGGGTAAAGTGTATTGGTGTATCAGAAATGTAACTCAACAGGAGTCTGCGAGAGAAAACCCAAATACATTTTCAAAGGTAAAAAGCTTTTGATATGAGGACCTTTCTCATCATTTTTGAATTACTTTTGATTTTATTATAGGATTTATGCATGGCATCCTTGATTTTGCTTTGTGATTGGAAATGCATTTAAATGCACAAGCTAAGTTAGCAAAACTAGTCATACAGTGGGGAAAAAAAAGTATTTAGTCAAATCAAATCAAATCAAATGTTATTGGTCACATGCGCCGAATACAACAGGTGCAGACATTACAGTGAAATGCTTACTTACAGCCCTTAACCAACAGTGCATTTATTTTTAACAAAAAAAGTAAAAATAAAACAACAACAAAAAAAGAGCAGAAGTAAAATAAAATAACAGTAGGGAGGCTATATATACAGGGGGGTACCGGTGCAGAGTCAATGTGCGGGGGCACCGGCTAGTTGAGATAGTTGAAGTAATATGTACATGTGGGTAGAGTTAAAGTGACTATGCATAAATAATTAACAGAGTAGCAGCAGCGTAAAAAGGATGGGGTGGGGGGGCAGTGCAAATAGTCCGGGTAGCCATGATTAGCTGTTCAGGAGGCTTGGGGGTAGAAGCTGTTGAGAAGTCTTTTGGACCTAGACTTGGCACTCCGGTACCGCTTGCCGTGCAGTAGCAGGGAGAACAGTCTATGACTAGGGTGGCTGGAGTCTTTGACAATTTTGAGGGCCTTCCTCTGACACCGCCTGGTATAGAGGTCCTGGATGGCAGGAAGCTTGGCCCCAGTGATGTACTGGGCCGTACACACTACCCTCTGTAGTGCCTTGCGGTCGGAGGCCAAGCAGTTGCCATACCAGGCGGTGATGCAACCAGTCAGGATGCTCTCGATGGTGCAGCTGTATAATTTTTTGAGGATCTGAGGACCCATGCCAAATCTTTTCAGTCTCCTGAGGGGGAATAGGCTTTGTCGTGCCCTCTTCACGACTGTCTTGGTGTGTTTGGACCATGATAGTTCGTTGGTGATGTGGACACCAATTGTGCAAGTTCTCCCACTTAAAAAGATGAGAGAGGCCTGTAAAAAATCCAGAAAATCACATTGTAGGATTTTTTATGATTTTATTTGCAAATTATGGTGGAAAATAAGTATTTGGTCAATAACAAAAGTTTCTCAATACTTTGTTATATACCCTTTGTTGGCAATGACACAGGTCAAATGTTTTCTGTAAGTCTTCACAAGGTTTTCACACACTGTTGCTGGTATTTTGGCCCATTCCTCCATGCAGATCTCCTCTAGAGCAGTGATGTTTTGGGGCTGTCGCTGGGCAACACGGACTTTCAACTCCCTCCAAAGATTTTCTATGGGGTTGAGATCTGGAGACTGGCTGGGCCACTCCAGGACCTTGAAA